AAAGCTTACCATCTAAAAATACTTCCACATCATGTAAATACTTATTTTAAGGGAAATGACACCAAAAACAAATCAGGTTTCCAAGTCATGTAAATACTTATTTTAAGGGAAATGCCGCATTCACAATTATCCCTGAAAACCAGAAAAAGGAAAAGAACCCCCAAAACCAAATTCAAAACCCGCATTCACACAAAATATGCCTTCCTCAAGATCCCCATACTTGCATCAGGCAATAACTGAAGCAGGATCATCGGAACGATTTCTCAAAAAAAAAAAATTATCAATGATTTCTAGGTTTCCAAAAAAAACAAAAAAAATTGGAAAATAACGAAAATCAGGCAAAATAAAACTAAAATCAACTTGATAACTACTTAAAAAAATGAAAATAAAACTAAAATTAACAAAAAAAAACAAACTAAAACATAATCGACACAAAGTAACAAACAATGTGAGCTGAAATCAGCACAAATCAAATGAAAATCAAAACGAAAATAAACGATGAATGTAACCTAAAATTAATTGAAAAACAGCAAAATATAAACAATAAACTCACCTTGACGAATAATTGACGAAGATTGAAGAAGTTGTGATGAAAAATCAGAGAGAAAGAGAGTAGAAAACCGGATGAACTTGAACGAGGAGAGAGAAAATTGTGCGTGAAAGAGGAAGGAGGAGAGAAAAAAAACGCAGGAAATTGTATCGAAATGAAATTGTTTTGTTTGACCGGGATTGTATTGTGACCGTTGGATGTAATTGATCCAACGATTATAATGAGTTCTCACATAAGGAATGTGGTCTCATATGATCTCATATATATATATATATATATATATATATATATATATATATATATATATATAATGATCTAGTGTGACGTGACTTGACTATATGACATTATTATATAAGAAGTATTATTTTATTTTATTACTATACTATATTTTATAACTATGAAATATGAATATAGTAAGGTGATAGTCATTTATATATATAATGATGTTATATAAGTATAGTGATGTGATGTGATTTGACTATATGATATCATATAAATATAATGTGATGTTCACAAAATATATATATATATATATATATATATATATATATATATATATATAATGTGATGTTTTTTGATTAAAAATGTCATATGAATATAATGATGGCATATAAGTATAATAATGTGACGTGACTTGACTATAATGATGTCATATAAATATATTGATATCATTATAGTCAAGTCACATCATTCATTATACTTATATATATTAGGGTCAAATGAGAAGATCCTTAAAATGAGAAGGATGATAAGGATCATATATTTTATACTAAATGTACATATTTTTTAAAAAAATGTGAAAAAAAAAAATCATCAATTTCCACGTGCATAATATTAGTTTTTCCAGAGTATCATATATACACCATATCATTCTTAATCCAACGCCTAACAAATATACGAGTCTAGCAATGATATGTACATATTTTTTTCGACTATGTGCATATTTTCATGGCTAAATTTTGCTTTTTTTTTTTTTTTTTTTTTAATACTTTGAATATGCATAATTTTTAAATCAAATGTGCATTATGTTTATATAGAATGTGTATATATTTTAATTGGTTGAAAAAAAAGCTTGATAAACGATTTGATTAGTGCCCGCAAATTAGATCTAAACTAAGCATGCATAACCTCGACGAAAATGTTTGCAGCTATCTAATTCACTTAGGACCTTTAATGTCTTCATAATTCACTAAAATTGTGCAATCATATGTTGTAATATATAATTAATTTCAACTGATTATACTGCAGTTAATTGATGAATAAAACAGAGACTCAATAATTTTTAGAGAGGAAGCTTGTGAAAAGAAGAGAGAGAAAAGCACAAAAGTGTTAGTTGAAATTGCAGGAGAGTGAAAAATTAAAGACGGAAGTGGGCATCTACTGAAATAGTGAAATACAGTACGTCGTAAAGGTAAGGAATTTTTTTTTTTAATACCAGTCGTTGGATTGTTTTGTGAATGGCTAAGATTCAGTGGCGTCACCAGGATTTTCAAAGTGTGGGTTCGAAACTTCGGAAATTTGAAATCGTAATTAACAAAGGAATAAAAATATAATTATTAAATATTCAGTACATAAATGAATGAATGATAAATTCAATAATCAATATGACAACATCAAATTATCAATGAAATAGAATATCAGAAATAAAATTATAAATCAGTATAAATTAAATAGAAATTATACTATTATACGGTATTACGACTCAAATACTCATTACTCAAATACACAGTCACAACTCACAAGCAGTCAAGCAAAACTTCAATTTCTGGAGGATTTTTCCCCAAATCGGCTAATCAAAACCACTGCTCAGTTTTTAATCAGCTAACCATATTTAAAAAATCATTTGGGACTAATAAATTATGAAGACTAATTAAAACTATCGTAATTAAAGATTTACAGTCAATTAGTAAACGGAATCCAGAAGGCAGAAAACGAAATAGCATATGAAATCCAGAAGGCAGAAAACGAAATAGCATATGAAATTCAACAATGTAAAAAAAAAATCCCCAAATTGAGAACTTGAGAAGTAAATTAGCAAATTATAACCAATCTTCACTAAACCAGCAATATTTCAAATTCATGTAAATCAAATTCCTCAATGCTAATATACAATTATTACTATTTAGGATAAAATCTTGCCTGAATTCATAAAAACTTGCTCTGATTAGTTAAATGATCAACAAGAGAGGCTTAGCTAAGAGGACGGAAGATGAAGGAGTACCAGTCATTAAAGCTTCTTCGAGATTCCGACTCTCAAATCGCTTCGGAACAACATACTTGCTAGTCTCAGCAACCAAATCAGCCATAACTGCAATATCAAAGCACATAAACATACATAAAATCAATCAAACTAGAAAACCTAGAAAATTCTAGACAAAAAGCGGAAAAATCAATTGAAACTCGTTGAATTATAAACAAATAAATTCATATTTAACCTCGTTGGGAGACTGAATTTGTAATGTATATTAGCATATGAATTTCAAGTATTCAACGATTTAGCAAAAAAAATCCCCAAATTAAGAAGTAAATTACATTTGCAAAAAAAAATCCCCAAATTCACTTACCTACATACACGGCTGTGACGGTGGGTCTGTTGGCTGTTGCGCCGGGAAGAGAAGGAGGAAGAACGGGAAGAGAAGGAGGAAGAAGTTAGGGTTTTGCAATTTGGGGGAATGAGGAAGAGGAAAGCTGGGAAGGTAAGCTCAGGAAACAAAAAAAAAAAAAAAAAAAAAAAAAAAAAAAGGGAGTGAGTTTTGGGTTTTGAACCCACAAACTCTTGTGTGATGGGAGGTAAAAATAACCACTGGGCTACAGCTTTACTTGTTGCCATATAATACACAAATATTCTATTTAAACCTATTTTGATTTTTTTTTTTTTTTTAAAAAAAAAAGTTTTTAATTTTTTTCAAAAAATCAGTGGGTTCAATGAACCCACCCTGGCTCCGCCCATGCTAAGATTTGTTCTAAAACTCTGTTTTTTTTTTTTTTTTTTTTTTTTTGAAATTTTCATTTTATTATGAAATAACAAATTTAGTTTATATTCCCCAAAACCAATTATGACAACATTTTAATCTACTCCATAAACTTTAAAAAACTATGGAGTATGTTGTACAAGTATGTTAAAACAATTGCTAACCAACATATATTGACTACTTTGTGTAACTAATTATTAATATTAAAATTCGAGCATAGCTCCACCATACAAAGAACTATAAATGAATTGAATATGTATACATCGTAAATGTTATCATTATTAATAAACAATTTAACTAAACGCAAAATGATTAAAAAGGAAGTAGATTTAACTTTTACAATAGAATTAATTAATTAAAAGTACCGCCTAATGTGTACTAGAGCTAATCATGTTAGGATGCCCCGATCTAACCTGACCCAATTTTGGGCGGGCTTTGGGCATAAATTTCGGCCCAAAGTCAGCTTGATTCGAAACTTTTATATTTTCCTGAAGGTCTTGGACATGCATTTGAAAGCTTTTTAGTTATTTTTTGAACCAGCCCAAAAACTTCGCATAGCCCAATCCAATTTTGTAGGTTCTGAGGCAAGTATTTTTAGCCCAAACCTTGGCTCAGAACGGTCCAACGCGACCAAGCGAATTGAATTTTTTACCCTAGGCCCGGTCCGCCCTTTAATCATCTCTAAACTGTACCTCTTATCATTATACCAGTATGTATAGATTTGAACCTAATATTAATTAAACTTTGACATGTCTAGGGATTGATAAAAATTAAGCACCTAGCACCAACCCTGAGGGTAGGTGGCCACCTAGGGATTCAATCGATATTGAATTGCCTTGAATAATACTTGAAAGGGGGTTTAAGACTTCAGGTTAAGGAAGGTATCTATAGGAGAATAGGACAAGGCATGCGAAAATCTAAGGCAGGACAAACGCGAGTCATCATCAATTTGGTGCCGTCTAACACGCTGGTAGACCAGCATAACTCATTTTTCCCCGCCACCACACTGAAATAAAGCTCACATTGGCATCTATTAACCTATACTATAAGCAAATCCTTTCATAACACTTATCATTACCGTATGAAATTTTCCCGCCTTTTTCGCTCTTTTTTTTTATTTATTTTTATTTTTTATTTTTTTATTTTTTTTGCAAAATATTTAAGTAAACTATTTATACCTTATGATATCTTCTTTCCAGTTTGACAATCATATTCCATACATACCTAAATAAAATAATTCTGAAATCTTTTATATACTTAATATTTTGTAATATTATTGTCAAAAATATTTAACAATCATGCATTGCAAGGGATTTTAATCTAATTTACGCATAATAAGCAAGGTTTTAAGTCTACCTTTGGAAGCTTTGGGCTCCATTTGAATGGTTTGGTTGTGATTCTGTAGAATCAACGGAAGATCCATCAAGCAAAATAACACCTATGTGACTGTAGGAGATGAACTATCTTAAGAATGGACCTCAAATGTAAATTTTTGCTCTTTTGTTACTAGCCACAGAAAATAGAACCATACTGTAAAAAAATTCATAGTTGCACAGCATTTTCATCAACTTGAAACAAGTGTGATACATTTTTAGAGGTACAAATGACGGTATAATAGCTAAGATGAAAAAGATGCTAGATTGACAGTAAAGTCCAAAATATAGAGCTGAGTATACTACAGTTAAGTAATTAACTCTCCAGTTACCTTTTCATACCCTTGCTCAACAAGTACCCAGTCACCTTAGTCTGATGTGATCATTAAAATATAACAGAGCATTATGAAAATGATGCCCTTGTCTGTGTCAGGTACTTCAAACAAGTCGGACATAGTCAAAGTGCGCGGACAAAATAGAACTAAGTTGTATGCACCATGAGATGGAAAATCAAGGAGAGGCCGCTCGTCAAGAATCGGAAGAGAGCTGTATTGTTACTCATTATTGTTAGACTTCCTGTAAGGCATGAACCTATGGTCCTTTGCAGCGTTTCTCCTCCTCTTCTTTTCCATATAAGAATCCAGCTTACCTTTTTCCTGATTATAGACAATTGATCAATGAGTAATAGATACACGTAATTTCTTAATCATCCATCAATAATAAGCAAGAGGTAAGCACATACCTTGAGATCTTTGAACTTCTCCATGTGAATCAGATCTCGGATTTCAGCTGCAACAAGAGAATCAAATGAGCATGTGCAAGCATATTATTCCAAATTAGCTCATGGCAAAAACAGATTAAAAGGTTGAGTAATACATAGCTCACAAGTCTGAGCTAAAGGATATCACTGGTTAAATAAATTATGGGCAAAATTTGCCTAAATAGCACCAATTATGGGCGAGTTTATGATTGGGTGTAATAAACACTCTGAAGAGCACCACATTAGTCTTAGCCACAATATCAACTAAGCCAAGGTGTGTGCCATTTCCGGAGACCTCAGAATCCATTGGAGACGGAGGATTCATTATTTTATTATTTTTCCCTCTTTTCAAAAATATGCCCTTGTATCACATGACCATACTGACCACTATCATTTTCATCATCCTCAATCTCTCCTCTCCTAACAAAAACCAAATTCTCTCGAAAACCTCCACCGTCATTACTTAAGAAAACTTTTCTCCTTTTCTTTCCCTTCTCTCCCTCTTCCCAATTCTCATCACTTCACTGCATATACCTCGCTTAAACCTCCATTCACCCAATTCTAAGTTTCACATCTTTTTTTTAAGAGGAAGCCTATATGGTAAAAGATCCCATACTTTCATTTCGTTAAAAATCCCAAAAGAATTAAAGAAAGCGAAAATGTCAAGGAAAGGAGCAAAGGGTTTGATTACAGAGAAATTTTCAAGATTTAACAAAGAATAAAGAGTTTTTTAAGAAAGACCCCATTTGAGAAAAGAAAATGGAAAAGGAGATGGAAAGGATTACATTTCTTTGCAAAATAGGGACGCTTTCCTTGCTTTACTGCTTCCCTTGCCTTCTTTTTGTGTTCAGAAAGAATTTGGTTTCTCCTGAGTTTTGTAGAGTCAGACTTCATTTGTTTGTCCTATGAAAACCCACAAATCAGAAATTAAATGAAATGACAATCATAACTCCATAAGGATTAAAGGTATTAGCTCCAAGCAAAAAGAATAATGAAACTGACATCACAAAATAAAAAAAAAAACTCTTGAGGCAAATATACTTACAATCAAGGCAATGCGAGTTTTTAATTCTGTAATTTTTTCAGGGTCTTTAGATGACTCCAGCGACTTCTTTAATTCCTGTGAGAAGATGAAAATATTATGATGATGGCTCAAAAGATAAAAGATTGTTTGAAACAACTCAAACAAGACACAGCACCAGATAGCCAAATAAACGTACTTGCTTTTCAGCGGGAAGCTTCTCTTCATAGATGAAATTATATCTCTTCTTGAACCTGCATTGTACAGAAAGTTCATGTTAATATTTGAATGATGTAACACTGCAACTTCCATCAAATGTGTGTCAGATCATAGTTAGATCATCATAGTTTTACTTCATATCATACAAATTTGTAAGGCCGATACACAAATTTCATCACCTATCTCTAAGATGCACCCTTCCGTTATCCGCATATATAAAAAACAAGAATTGAATGAAAATAAATTAATATCATGTCAGAATTAATTATTCTCAAAGATCAGCATTCGTGAAATCCTGGCACAAACTAGACTGTAACATGAACATATTCACTGATAATTTATTACAAAGATAAATAAATGAATGAAATAATTAAAGGGTATCTAAAAGAAGGGGAAAACACACACACACACACACACACACACACACACACAGAATGGCAGATAAGTTTCAAACAGGAACCTTACCCCTCTTCATCAAGATTGCCACAAAGAGATTCAAATCGTGGATCGCGTACTACCTGTTGATCACATCATAAGAGTGAATTAGCATATTGATAATACGAAATAAAGCTTACTTAATCAGCCTAAACATTCAAAGGGATAATATAATTCCAAAGGAATAATCAGCCTATGTTACTCTGAATCTTCATTTGCCTCGAAGTAGCCACATCAAATACTAGACACTGGACATTGGTGTGAATTTGGATACTTCCTTTTGGGACAACATCAGGAAAAAAAATTCAGAAAATGGCCGAGTCTAACACACTTGGATACATACCTGTATCTTGACACTTTTAGCCGAGTTAGAGTAACATAGATATAGAGAATGATAAACCAGAATCCCCTAACTTATCACTCTTGCAATTCACAGCATAAAAAGTTCTCGCAGAAGCTTGGATATTGGTCATGTTTCATCAACACATCTGAGTTTTAGCTCTCATCCCAAGAAACAGGAAATATAATTTGTCAAAATGTCGAACACCCTCAGAAAACATAAAAAATGGTAAGTCCAATAAATGGTAAGTCTCACCAATTGTTCTGGTACACTGTAACTGTCTTATGCACTGAAGATATCAGTAATGGACATAGAAAGGTGAACTGCATACTGAAGTATAACTTAAAGCCTAAGCAAGAACTGAATGAAGATGAATCTTCAAATATTGGAACAACAAAGAGCTCACTTTCAGATGATTTCCTCTGTTTCAGAGTTTAAACACATCTGATTGCCAAAGGAAAACTAGAGACAGATGGCTAGGCACTAATTTTAGATTAACAAGATCATAAACTGGCAACTTCATGGTTAATCCCATAGTAAAAATTTAATTGTAGAAATCCCATTTGTAGACAGATGGTGAGACTTTCATATAAGGAACAACGCTATGATAATATCCCGAACACCATAGAAAGGAACATCGAAATCATAATATTCCAATCCCCCTTAGAAAGTAATGAACAACACAATTGCTAGCTTTGGACAGAAATGTAATAATCATTATGTATTAATATGTTAAACACAGGTGTTATGAAGCTGACCTTCTTAGGCACTTGAATCACTTCTCTGAATCTACTAACCGGCTTTTTGCTACTCACCTCCATTGGCCTTCATTCGAAAAACCAATACAAATACTCAATTCCAATTCCCAAACGATAGCACAAAAAATACATAATTGCACAAAGTAACAATAATCAAGAAACCCATACATGTTTTTGTTAGCTCGCTTAGCCTTGTTCTCAGTTTCGCGCTTTCGGTGCAAAGCAAGGGTACCATCGGAACGGGCCTTCTGCAACTCTCCAAAAGGCACATCAGCAAGTTCATTCTCTATTTCAGCTTCCTCCTAAATTGACAAAAAATCCATCAAAAATTAACACAAAAACTCAACTATCCACACTTAAATCTCAAATGTATATCAAACCAAGTAATCCAACAAACTAACATCTTCTTCACTCGAGGAATCCTCATTCTCTTCGTTTTCTTCGAATTTAATTTTATTCGAAGCAGGGAATAACTCCGCTTTCATAGTTCCGTCCTAAAATTAAAGGGTTTAGCAACAAATTAGCAACCAAATTAAATTCTTCTAGCTTAAGATATGAATAGAAACGATAATACTGGTTATCATATATTAGTAATTAAATTAATTATAACTAATAATTCGACAATCTATTCACCTCAGAAGAACCCTAAATTGAATCAAATAAACGATTAAAAGAATATTGAGAAGTTGATATCGATGATGAAAAATAACATCTTACCCCAAAAATGGAGAACTCAAAAGTACGCTTCAATGGAGGAAAGAGAAAGCGAGAGTGAATTTGAGGAGTCAGGTATGGAGAAATTGGTTTAGGGGGTTAAGCGAGAGTGATTTTTTATATAGAAAAATTTGGGATGTTACCATTTTATTTAAAAGGAAAAAATTTCATGGGGAATAATCCAGCCGTTTGTTTTAATAATTCTATATTTAGGATATTTTTAAATGATTTTATCTTTGGGCCTGATCTTTTTTAATGGTCTCATTTTACTTGAAACCGGTTGAGTTGGTAATTTTTTTTTTTTTAAAGATAAATTTACGCGTGTCATTACATAATTGGTAAAAAAAAAAACAAAAAAAAAATTAAAAAACCCAAAACCAATTCAGCTACCACCATCCCCACCACCACCCAAACCCTAAAACCACCATCCCCACCAGACCCGAACCCCAAAACCACCCCACCAGCCTCCCCCCTTCCCTTGCCCCAATTCCGACCACCCAACGCCGGCGCAGCTTAACCCCCTCCCCTAAACCACCAACACCCCAAACCCTCCCCCGAAAACCCAGCCAACCCCTCCCCTAAACCACCAACGATTCATGCCTCCCCCCTTCCCCCGCCCCGATTCCGACCTCCTTCCTCTTCCCTCGCCCTGATTTTCGGCCTCCCTTACTTTCCCCCGCCCTGATTTCTCTCTCCTTTCTCCACCCAAATTTCTCTCTCTTCCCAAGTCCGGCGCAGGGGGAAAGGGAATAGCAGCAGCCGTCGTCGGTGGGGAGGGTTTTGTTGGTGTGAGTCGCTGTTGATGGAGGGTTTTGTTAGTGTGGGTTGCAGTGGTGGAGGGTTCATTAGGGGGTGGGTTATTAGTCATGTTGGTGGTGTGTTGAAGGGGGCACCGCTGCTGGTGGGTTAAGGGGAGTTACTGGTGGTGGGTTGAGGGAGGGTGGTTGCTTGTGGTGGGTTGAGGAACGGTGGTTGTTTGTGGTGGGTTGTGGGGGTCATGTTGGTAGTGGTTTCCGCTCTGATGGTTATGGAGGGAAGAAGGGAAAGGGGAAGGGGAAATGAAAAAGTTTTTTTTATTTTTTTTTATTTTTTCTTTTAATTTTTTTTTTGACCAATCATAGGTTGTCACGTGTCATGTAATCTGTTATCATGTAATCTGTTATAACATGTTACATGACCGGTTGGACCATTAAAAAAGATCGGGGGCCCAAAGGTGGGATTATTTAAAAATATTCCAAAGGTGGTATTATTAAAATGAACGGCCCAAAGGTGGGATTATTCCCGTGAATTTATTACCAGTGTACCACCCATGTATGGAGGTCAATTTGGGGAACTAAAACTAAGCACTTTGAGAACAAAATCAATCTGTTAAGTTTAACATTTTAAAATAAATTAGTTATTGGTCCGGGTGATGACTCGCATCATTTTAAATTTGTAATTTTGATCAACATTAAATAAAGAACGGAAATATAGTAACCCCTTCGTTTTTAAATACTTGCTCTATTTCTCTTGGGTACGTATGCCGATACTAATTTTTGATTAATAATATATTTAATTATCAATAAGTATAAATTCTAACAATTGAAAATTAATAATCTATTCATTGAGACGATTCTAACAAGTACCCACAAGACTATATTTTTTTCGTATGTATAAATCACAAACTTTAGTCAAAATAGGACAAATGAATAGTGCAAAAAATAGAAATGAAGCAAGTATTTAAAAACAAACACTAGTAGAAAAAAGTAAATGGGAAGTCCCAAAGGGGGAACGGTTATTAAAAATCCGCTTCTAAATCCCTACAAAATCCACATCAGACCTCAAATGGCAAGCGGTTTGGGCTGAACCGCTCCCAAAAATGTAATGGGAAGCGGTTAGGACATTGAACCACTCCCCATCCTTTAAAAAATAAAACCTAACAACCCCTCATATGATTCTCACGCCACTTTTCTCTCCTTCTCTCTCCTCTCTCCTCTGCATTCTCAATCTCACGCCTCTTTTTCTCCCTCTCTCTCCTCTCTCCATTTCTCACCCATGGAACTCCTCTTTTCTCTCTCTCCTCTCTCCTCTCTCCTTTCTCCATTTCTCAGTTCTTAGTTATCACTTCTCACCCATCACTTCTCTCAAGCTTCCCTTTCTTTTCTCTCTCCTCTTATCACCGGCCACAACTACAACCACCAAGAGCAACACCCACAACAACCACCGAGAGTAACACCCATAACAACCACTAAGAGCAACACCCACAATAGCACACCGAGCAACACCAACAACGGCGCAACGCAACACCAACAACAGCGCAACGCAACACCAACACCGACAACAGCGCAACACCAACACCAACAGCGCAACACCAACAACAATACCCACAACCACTGATACCCATCGAGATCTAATTTTAATTAAGGTAAGAATTTAGATCCAGTTTAATTTTTTTTTCTTTCAAATTTCATATTTTAATTACTTTTATTTTATTTTTATAAGTTTGTGCGTGTTGGCAAATGTTAAATTTCAGATTTTTTTATTTTTTTTTAACTTAATTTCATATCCTATTTTAATGATTTGCGCAGGTGGTTTAATTGGTGGTGAGTGTTGGTATTAGGTGGATGCATGTGCGTGGATGGTGGTGCGCGTGGGTGGGGGATGGTGGTGGAACGCATGGAAGCAGCAAATGTTTTATTGATTTATTAATGTATTTTCTTTTTTGATGAAAATGTAATATTACAAAAATTGATTAATGAAAATATTTATATTTATACATATGTTTAATGTTTCTGTATCAATATAAGTAAAAAAAAAAGCCAATTTTTTTTTTTTTAATTTTATAGGCATAATGGGAAGGACCCAAAACCGCTTCCCATTACCTCCAAATGGGAAGCGGTTTGAACCACTTTCCATTAAAATGGCAACCATTAGGATTTTGAACCGCTTGCCATTTACTGTAAAAGGGAGTGATAATTATTTAAGGTATATATAATTATTAAATTTTGCATCGAATATATACCAAATTTGACTCAAATTTTTTAGAAAATATCACGAGTGAATATTATGTACACTTAAAAGTAAAAAGTAATTTGATTAGCCAGCCATACTCAAAACTTAAGTAGCAAAGTGGTACTTTTCAAAAAAAAAAAAAAAAAAGTGGCAAAGTGGTAGGTTTTTTCATTATACTTTACATAATTAGATAATATTAATTAGTTTCTTACCAATTAGATGGTAGATTATTGTGTAGTTTACTAAGGAGTTACATGATACTGTAATATTATAGATGAAAATTAAATAGGGATGTTACACATATGTAGAGTTTTTTTCAAGTAGAGCAAAATAATTACTATAAGGAGGTTACACCTAGAGCAAGCCTCAATTTATAACTTAGATAAACAAATTATGTTTATCAAATGGCATTTTCGTAAATAAATTATATTGGAAATTGTGTTTTTTGATTAAATTTTTATTTTTTTTACTGTTTGTAGGCCACTATGACAAGTTGGACAGAATTTAAAAGTTAACTCCGTTAACTCTCCTTTGCTACTATTCATCTTCTTCTTCTTCTTCTTCTTCTTCTTCTTCTTCTTCTTCTTCTTCTTCCTCTTGTGCATATTTTTTCTTCCCACCCACCTTAATCTTCTCCCTCCAATCTCTGCCCACTTTCACCTTCTCTTTCAAGTCCGTTCGACTCCATTTCCGCCGGCTTCATCGGTAAAATTAAACAAAAACCCTAATAACAAAAGTAGAAATTAATGGCATGGTTAACCCTAAAGGGTAATTGAATTTTCCTTCCTCCGTTAAATTCGACTTTGCACCACCAAGCCGTCGGAATTAAACGAAAACCCAAATAACAAAGTGAGAATAACGAGCATGGTTAACTCTAAAGGGTAGATAAGCTTTTCTCCCTCCATTGATTTCGACTTGTTTGACGTCATATAGTGAAAAGGTGTACTTTCCACCATTGAAATTGAAGGTTGAAGGAGGAGAGAGAAAACAACAAAAGGTTGAAGGAGGAGAGAGAAAATTAGAAAATATCAAAAGGTTGAAAGAGGAGAAATAAAACAACTATTAACCAAAGTTAGATCGATGTAATTTACATATATACCCCTTGATAAACAATTCTTGTTTATCAAGGTTATAAACTTGTATTTTCTCGTTACACCTATGAAAAGTTTTTATAAGAGATTGTACATTAATACAATATGTGTGGGAAAAGAGTAATGACACATTAACACATAGGATGACACGTAGAATTCATGTGGCGCCAAAGGTATATTATCAATGGTAATCCCCAACTTCTGCTATGCACCAATGGTAACCCCCCCTTTTTTTGTTTTATACAAAATGACCTTAGTTAAAAATTTCATCCCACTCATAACCTTATTTCATTAAATATTAACTATGGTTAAATTTATATCTTTTTTATAAAAAGAATAATTAAGAAAATAAATCCCAACCCCAATCCCCCATTGATTCCGGCCAACCCAGCCCCCTCACTTTCCACCGTTCCGGCCAGCCCCTACCCCTACTCCGTCCAATGCAGCCCCCCTCCCTTTCCACCGTTCTGGCCATCCCCCTCCCCTACTCCGTCCATTCCAGCCCCCTTCCCTTTCCACCGTTCCGGCCAGCCCCCCTACTCCATCCAACCCATCCCCCTCTCTTTCTTCCTTAACCCCGCCGCGACCATCCCCTGCTACCTCTTTCGTTTTTGCTTGGCTGCTTCAACGATCATCATCACCATCAATCCCCACCATTAATCCATTACCACCATAAAATCGCGGCCGTTAGACTTAGGGAGCCGGTTTTGGATCCCGGGGTCGTTTTCAGCAAGGGAAAGGGGAGAGGGTTCGTTTACCGACAGGGGGAGATGGGGGGGTGTTTTACGGGATGGGGGAAGGGAAGGGGATGTTTTTGGGGGAGTGGGAACACCAATCGGTGGTTTTATGGATTGGGCGAACGGTGGGACTACGTTCTGGCAGGCGGGGAAGAGGAGATCGAGATGTTTAGTAGGGAGTGTTTCCGGCTAGGTTAATGGGATGAGGTTGATTTTTTTTATTTTTTATTTATATTTTTTTTATAGTTTTAGTTTTTTTTAATAATATATATATATATATATATTTTTATCGGTAAACCAACCTCCTAAGGCGAAATAAGCACAAGGAAAGAGCAATAGCCCAGACCAACCTACAAAAACGAAACGGTCCCTCCGTAACCAGTCATCCATACTATCAAATACATACATACATATATATATATACACACATATATATATATATATATATATATATATATATATATATATATATATATATTTTCAAAGTTAATCATAGTTAGTTTTTTTTTTTTTTTAAATAAATAATGCTCATTAATGTCATATGTGAGATAAATTTTTTATTTATGGTCATTTTGTATAATCCAATAAAAAGGGGGTTACCATTGGTGTGTAGCAGAAGTTGGGGGTTACCGTTGAAAATATCCTGACACCAAATCATCTTGAGGTAAGGGGTGACACATGGAAACAGCATGTTGTCCCTTTGAATTTTAATAATGTTATAGATTTTTCATTTTTTTTTGAGCCAAAACATGCTCTTTAGATGTTTTGGGGGTCATTTTTTTCCCTTGTAAACCAATATAAAGTCAAAATTTACAAAAAATGATTGAAAACGCCTACTTTTGCATTACCTACGTAAAATGAGGCATTTTCGTTAATTATTTGTTAATTTAGACCTTAGATCTAATTTTTTTTTTGTATATTCCGTGTAGTAATTTAAAAATAGAACTTTTTTTTTATAGTAATTTTAAAAAGTGGGTTATTTGTGGGTGATAAAATACAAAATTTCCTTTATTATACTAGGTATAATTTTTTTTTAATGATACGGGAGGAAGAATAATACTAGTACTATTATTAATTACAGAGTTATATTCATATGGAATTTATAAACCACATATTTAGCGGAATGACAAACCCCCTCCCGCTCATAAATAATTGACTCATTTAACTTTTTTCACCATTCATTGTATATTTTGTACAATATTATTTATTAAGTAAAAAAAACTAAATATTAACTCTAGGGAAGATTCAAAGGAATTCTTTTTCAAATTTCAATTCATGTTAAAGTTTCTATTTGACTTGTACATGCTAAAAAATGAAATTTACAACAAAAGGCGAACAAAAGAAGTATAAATCGACTAATTATGCGAAACAATTATAATTAACAAAATCCATTAAAAACTAATTTGTTAATTTTAATTTAGATGAGTCACTTATTTACATGTGTCCCAACCTCTAAAATATGAGGAAAAAAAACTGTTTTAAATCAAGTTGCTTCTATATTTTCACTTTATTTCTAAAATAGTTAACTACACAAAATCAATTAGTAAGCCTCTTGATTAGCTAGTTCAAAAGTTATTAAATAATCATTGTTGACACCAAAATTTTGTTATTTTTTAGGTGTTAAATATACATAAATAAGAAGATAATATATAAAAAAATATTAGATAATATCTACAGAATCTTTTAGAATATATGATTATTATCTTGTATACTAATCTATGACTCTCTATATAAAGAGAGTTGTTTCTAGGGATTTAACGGGGCCCGTATGGAATAAGTCACAAAGACCGCTTCTCCTTCCTACTACCAAACTAACATTGTAGGTAAACCCGGAATAAGTGGATAAGACCTGGTAAATCAAGCCCTTTGGAGATAGGAATCAAGATATTTATGAGAGTTGCAACCCATAAACTATAAATAAAATTATTATTTCCGCATATATATTTTTTGCCTCTTTATTGTATATTGTAGGTTTGAATTTTATGGTTTACAAATTGACACGCTCAGTCGACGGTGGGGTGATTTCTGCTCTTCAAGTTTCAAAACTCATAGATTTAATGGGGCATGTCGAATTTGCTTTCAAATTTTTCAGGAAAAATTTTGAGACCAAGTTGTATTCGATGTCAAATCTCCACAACAGGTCTCGAGGGGGCATTTGTTAGACACCGAAATTTTATTAATTTTTAGGTGTCAAATATATGTAAATAAGGAGATAATTTAAAAAAAAAATAAGATATTTATCTTCAGTCTCGTAGAATATTTGATAGTAGTTATCTTGTTTACTAATATGACAAGACCATGTACTATAAACAAATATCAAAATCATAACCCTTTGGAGATAAGAATCAAGAGATCCACGAGACTTGTAATCCCATAAATCATCAATGAATTTATTTTAGGGTTTGAATTTTTATGGTTTACAATCGTAGTAAACATGTTATTTAAAGTATTGTGTGCATATAAACGTATTATTTAAAGTATTGTGTGCATATACTACGTACATTATATATACTCCCTCCGCCCGGAGTTATCTGCAACAAAGGACATAATTGCGGACTCCTATGAAATTTTTTTAGGGGATTTTAATTAAGTTTGGGTGGGTTTAATTAAGGTGGAAAATGGAGGGAAAGAAGGGGTCCCACTTATTTTTGTTTTTGGGTGGGTTTTATATAGTGGGTAAAAGGTGGAGGAGGGGACCACTAATCCCTCCCATTATTCTGAATTTCTCTGATTTAAGGAGGGAAATTTGGTTCCCTCCTTTTTTTTGGCCAAATTTTTGTTTCCCACCTAATTTTGTGAAATGGTTCCCCATTTCAAAATTTTGGTGAAATAAAAAATTCATGGCCAATTTTTGATTTCCCACAAAAAAACAGAAGTTGACCAAAACAAAAAATTTGACCCAAAAAAAAACACAATCTATTCAAACATAAAGTGCCTAGTATAAAAGACATACAAGATTGATCAAATTTGTTCCAACAGAAAACCACACCCACCATGGGTATTCAAACCTTCCAACATTGTTCACAAAATACCCCATAAATTACAAGTTTGTTAAGTTAAAATATTAACTGCCTACACTACAATTAGTTCTACACTAAGGGCAGCATCGGGGTTCCGCTTCAACACCACTTCCAAAAAAATCAGGAGCCAAAAACTTCATCACCATCCTTCAAATCTGTGCAAGCAAAGAGAAAGGGACTGATATGCGTGTCGTGTACCTAAAAAAATAAACCTAACGAGACCACTACTATGTAGATGGGGAAGTAAGGATCGAATCCCAAGAGACTAAGGTTCACCTAATTAAATAGACTCAAATAAT